GGTATGCAACACTCCGCTACGTTCGGCGCAGGGCCGTCTACGCGCAACAGACTCCCTCCCCCCTATTATTTCTGATCTTCGTAAATTTGGAAATAATCATTGCATTTTTTCAACTGTTTCACAATCTTGATGTTCGTTGTTTAATAGCGGACACTTGATAGATCATCGAATAATTCAATGAAATTTTCAATTTTTTTGGAAAATTTGTAACGACTGGATAAAATTTCTTTCGTCGAATACGATATCTTTTGAATTTGATGAGATGGTGTTAACCATTCTTGTTAACGATTGTATGTTAAAAGTAGAGAACAGTGGAGAACAGATAGGTTATCCCGTCACGCGATAATATTATTATCTATCCTGGTATCATTGTCGGGACTTCTAGCGCGTCTTTCGAGACAGGAAAGCAACGATGTTTAAACGGAGTGCCAACATGTGAACGTGTCTCGTTGCGAGGAATGTTAAATATCCTAGAAGAGGTAGAGGGATCGCTCATGCTACTCGAACATTCCGATTGCGTATGCTATTCGCGTGTGAAAGTGAACACACACAGACGAATCTTTCGTCTCGTCCTTGGACATATTTTCGTGACTACTCTAATCGATTCTTTGTGTCAACTTTCGCCGAGATCGCTATCATCACGTTATTCTCGCCGATCTAAAGAATCATGCAACTTGGCCAGATATGATAAGTCGTGGTAAAAATAGAATAGAAAATAAAAATACTCTGGTCATCGACACCGATCGGTTTGTAGATCTCGCGACACAGGTAGACCCTTCTCAAGATACTCAATAATCCGTTACGCGATACAACGGGATCGTATAGCTCCGGTGTTAAAGACACTATCGCTGCCATAACGTTAACGAGATTGCGGTTGCATTGATGATTAAGACAGAATTTCATATTCCTTCGTACGTTTAAAATTAGAACGTGTTATTAAATTATCCTTTACCAACGGGCCTACAATATTACAAATTTTATTTATTTTATATTAACCCTTTGCACTTCTTAATTTTTTTTAACTACAACTAATTCATTTACCTTTAATTCATCTACAAAGAGTCTCAATAAAATATTGTGTAAACTATTACAAAGTATTTGAAAGAAAAAGAAAAACATTTTAAATTATTTTTAAAAGCTACGTTGTATAATATCTAGCTCGAGGAGTCCCAAGGGTTAAAATTAAAACTTAATTACACGCGAAAAGAAACGTGAAACGCATCGTTTCACACACGCCTTGTGTCCAAAATTTCATTCTGGACACAACAAGATCAACAATGAAATAACCCAATCCTAATCTCCCCACTCCTTGCATCACCCATGGCACTCCGTGACGTCGGCTACGTCCCTGTCCACATACACGTGCATCAATGTCGCACACGCGTGCTCGTCCCTTCGCGCGATTACAAAGCTGGTTGAAATTACACACTCGCGTGTGCGTGTACGTGTGTATACGCGAGTGCACGCGACGCGGCCTCGCGATTTCTGCGCGAGGGGGGAAGATGAGCGATGACTGCCGACCCCCG